AATATTAGACAGTGTCTGTGTAGCTTTGGTTCACCTGGAACTCATATGTAGCCTGAAAGTCAGACATCTGAATGCCTCTGACTCTGCATTACAAGTATTGGAATTAAAGGCATACACTATAGGCTCAACGTACTGAGTGCCTATTAAAAAGTGGAAATAACTCTCTGTTTAGATCCACAGTCCATTTTTTAGTAAGTATTCGGTTTTCTTGACTTTGTTTTTTAAGTTCTTTGTATAGTCCCTCTCTGTGGACTTTCTTTTCACTTGGTCAATTATTTCTATTGCTGTACAAAAAAAATTTTAGTTTTAAGAGATCCCATTTGTCAGTTGTTGGCCTGTAGCTTCCACCTCTCATCACCTCCAGTTTTGGAGGAGACGGAGATTATCACAGAAAACTACGACAAGTTGAAGCACAAAAAACAACTGACTTTGGGATGTCCATCCCCTATTGGTACATCAACAATTCAATTCCTACACCTAAGGCTCAGGGCACATCATGGAAAAGGGGGAGGAACAATTGTAAGAGACAGAATCAGAAAGTCTGCTAGAAGATAATGTCTTCTCTATGTGACAGGGAGCTACACCCATCAGATGGTAACAATATAGTCACAGATCTGCACAATGGCATTAGTTGACATTTTGATGTCACAAAATGAAGAGCTATAGGCAATTAATGGCTGATGAGAGGAATAATTATCCTTCTCCAGGGATGAACCCCTGATAAGTTGTGTAATCTTAAGTGGTAAGCCCTAAATATAGACACATATCAACAACACTAATGGAATCCACAGGTTGTATTTACACATATGTATGTATGTATATATGAACATATATATGTAACAATAATACCTAAAGAAGAGGTCATGAATTTGAGGGAGAGTGGGGGTCATGAGATGTGTTAGGCAGATAAGGGGAGATAGAAATTATGGTAGTGCAATACTCATGTATGAAATTCTTAAAAAAATAATAAAATGAAAGTTTTAAAAAATAAATAAAGTACATCTCATAATAATTTAATGAAGTACATGTTGGAGTCATTTTAGTTTTTTACATGAAATCCATATTTAAATTCAGTAATAAGCATATAAAATTTCTTTTGATAAGGAAAGGGTTTATTTCATCTACAAATCTTCAGCTACATTCCATCACTGAAGGAAGTCAGGGCAGGAACTCAAGGCAGGAACCTAGAGGCAAGAACTGAAGCAGAGGCCATGGAGGAGCAATGCTTATTGGTTTACTCTCCATAGCTTGCTTGGCCCGTTTGCTTATACCACCCAGGACCATCTGCCCATGGGTGACACTGCCCACAAAGGGGGAGGGGCTTCTCACATCAATCACTAATCAAGAAAACACTCCACAGGTTTGTCTACAGGCCAATCCCTAAGCATATAAATTTTATTTGATTATTTCACTAATGTTAACATTACTGGCTTTCAATTAAGGCAAAATATGGTTAACTATTTGCCAAAATGGTTACCTACATAATGAAATTAGATGGTAGTGAGATGCACATCTGTTCTAATCAGTTATTATTTGTCTTCTGTTTGCATTTAAAACATGCTTATATGTGAAAAATTAATTTATTTACTAAATCTATTATTTTCAAAGCTTGTGCTTAATTACTTTGATGTGCTATCTTACTGAACTATATTTTACATTCAAATTCATCTTGATTAGCACTAAATAAAAGCTTTTTAGCATGCATCATGAATTTCTGTGTGCGTGTGTCACTAATTGGGAGTTGTTCCACTCACTATCACATCATCCCTAGTGATGTACTAGGAAAATTTTTGCTTCTTGTTCCTGTGACCTCAACTTCTGCTGACCTAGAAGTTTTGGTTCCTGACAAGGGAGTCCTGCTGGGAAGAGACAAAGCAAATATTCCATGAACTGAATATTCAGACTTCCTTCTGGCCACTTGGGGCTTCTGATGCTCTTAAGCCAAGAGGGTCAGAAAAGAGTGACAGTGTTAGATTTATTGAACCAGATGACTCAGTACTGAGATTGAACCAGTGACTTGGGCAGAAGAACTGAAGTGGAATTCAAGATTCAAACACAACGAGGGGCTCAAGGCTATGCTGCACAACTGTGCTTTGCTGGCATTCTGTGGAGTTCAAAGTAGGGGAACAGAGAAACCATGAAACACTTTCAGAATATTTCTCATCACTATCATCAGATCTGCGCAGGAAACTGAAGGTCTCACGGTGAATGGGAACTGATTGAATCGTGTCCTTGAAGAGCTAGGCTGTACTGCTAAGAAGGGGAGAGGAAGCATCTTGCCAATGCCACTCCTTTGGCAGACAGATGCATTACTCCCAGGAGAGTTAACAAAGTTCTATGAAAACACAGTTTACACAGCTGGGTAGCATGAAAAACTCTATTATCCAAATGCTACAGGGGGGGGAATTGGATTGCTTCTCTCAGAGAGAGATAAGGAAAATTATGTCCGGAGTGCAGTAGATTCTTGAAGGTATCTCTTGGCATTATCATGTACTGTGTTTAAAGTCAACAGGAAAACTACACCCACCCAATCCAGGCAAGACAACAAAAGGCCCAGATTCTTAATGAATCAAGGTAAGAGTCACTCCTCTAGGTAAAGCACCAATGAGATACTTCTAATGGTGGAAGAAAAACAGAATGAGTAATGGAGGAAGGTAGTCATAACTACTAGTTGAGGTCACATGACCATCTGCAGAAGTACAGATTGTAATTGACACAAGTGTTTCCATCATATTGTGTTAAGAATGTGTTTGTGCATATATATGTGTATTAGGTAGATATTTTTTCTTTATTTATCATGTAATGTAACATTGATTTAGAAAATATCGGTGGTTATTATCACTCTAAGCTATGAGACACTCCCCCCCCAAAAAAAAACAAACAAAACATTCCTCAAGGGACATTGCCATCTATGGTAAAATATATAATGCATTTGTGGTTATAAATGGGATAATTATGTCATGTTACATGTAATTAGAACCTAATTATTGTTTGCATTCAGAAATTAAGCATGACATAAAGAGATGGGATTGTGTGTCCAGTTGACAAAGGGTGGACTTAAGATGGCTAATCTTGATTGACAGCTTTACCACACTTGGCATCAACCAAAACTAAAGCATGACTGTGAAGGATTTTCTTGACTGGATCATTGGAGGGCCCACACTAAACCAGGTCACGCTTTCTGGTAGCAGCCCACAAAGAAGGACTAGAGGAAGATTTTTACCTGCTTACCCTCTTTTTTCATTGACCAGTTCATCTGTCCTGTGGCTGAGGCATTCCTTTGATGGTACCAGAACTCATTTCTTTGGCATTGAAATGTCGACTGAGGATCAGCTAAGACATACAGTGGGGTGCACTGAACCACTCCTGATTCTTAGCCTTTCCAATGAGAGACAGACATTATGGAGCTAGCCAGAGCACATTCCATAATCCATTTGTAATCCATTTATGCATTTTCATTTTATCAGGTCTGTCCTTTTAAAGAACATGGCTAAACTAACATTTCATTTGACATTCAGAACATGTAGAAGAATCAACCACTATAGCATAAATGAGCATAGTTGTATGTTACAGTACATTTAAAGAATGAATATACAAAGTAATATTTGAAATTGTGCAAAAGAAGCATTAGTTATCTGTGACCAAAATCCTGTATGTATTTATGAACAAAATCCATATTTTGATCTTGTGCACTAATACTAATAATAAAAAGTTAACTAATACCACATTTGATAAAGTAGTCAATTATTTGGAGATAGGTATAGTTCACCATAGTCTTTGATTTACCAGCTATTAAAATCATTGGAATCAGGTGATAGCCTTAACATTAAAATTGTTTACATAAAGTGTATGTAAAAAAAGTATAAAAGACAATTTACCTCATGAATGAATATTTAGTAGCTCTTGTTCTATGTTTCTGTTTTGTTCTAAACTTTCTCTGAATATTAAAGGAGTGATTGTCTAAGTGGGGTGTTGACCTAGCAGTACTAGTATCACTTTGGAACTTACCAGAGATGAAAATGTTGAGACAGAACCATTGACCTGATGGATGCACAGTTTTGAGGGATGAGGCTGAGCAATGTTCATTATAAGAAGCCACCCTGGATAGTGTCTTGTATGTTGAAATTGATGGTCAACAAGCTATAGAAAGGTGTACAGATGGTGTTCCTTGTATTCTCAACAATGAGTTAATCTAATGTCTTTGCAAAATCACTTCTCCATTTTGATAGGGAATGTTATATCCTCTGCCTCTGTGTTACAGGTAGGAATGTGTAGTTTCTAAGGTGAAAGTGATTGTGAAGACCATGACCTTCTTGTCAAAATAATCTTTATTCTGGAATCATTTCTTGCCTTTCCCACCATTTTTTTGTGTTATGAACTACAGGGTAGCCTTTTAAAAATATTCTGTATAAGATAAATGTGAATATGGTACTTAAAATTAGAATTTGTATCTGGTACATTGGAATGAAGCAAATAAAAACTCTTGAAAATGGCAAGAACACTTTCAACTTCCACTTGGCAGCCATTGATCGGCATGAAAAATAAAATCAAGGTGTAATAAGGTAGCAATTGTCACACAGACACACATAGCTGCCGTCTTTAAAAATATGAAGTTAAGGGACATTTTAACTCATATGTACCGTTCCAGAGAGTGAAAGTTCTGAGCACTGACATGTGAAGACGATAAGGTGACTATTGCATTGTTAGATTTGTTTGAGGATAGACTCAGGGGCCTCTCAATTTCCTGTGATTGTGTGCATTTAAGCCATATCTAAAGGTGAACAGAGAGCCTGGTCACCAGTGGCATGTACCTGTAATCTTGACTCCAAGGAGGCTGAAGCAGAATTGGAAGTATGAAACCAGCCTAGGCTACACTTAAAAAAAAAAGTCATGCACATAGACTATTTGGGTGTGTGTTCTAGACTTTTCCAACACAAAAACCACGTTTTCATCTTAAAGGGAATAAGGCATAGTTTATTCTGGAACCATTTTTTTTTTGAATGACCATGGCCTGGAAATACATCTATGGGTTACTAAAAACTCAATCATCCAAAGTGGAAACAGTTTCATGAATTTTTATAGTTTCATAGAACAAAGTCATAAATCAGGGTAAGTTTAAAATGCATACACTGGTGGGTACAGCGGAGAAGTGCTTACAGCCAGATGATGGAAGTGTTGCTGTAGGCCCAAGATGTTTTCTAATGACATTCTTAGCGCTTAGGTTTGGGACTTGGTAGTCTCCTAAGTTAATAGATACCAAAATCGTTTTATCTATTATTCACAGGATGTTAGTTCTGACAGAATAGGTAAGGAACAGATGTTCCCAGTGGCTAAAGCTACCCTATAATAAGGTAATTAGCCTCTGGATCAGCATTCCAACCTCTACACAGTACTTCAGTTCAATTGGTTTCAGCTGACACAGATTCTTCTCAGGAAACTTTGTTCACACCAACATAGGTCTTATGTGGACATTGTTAGGAGTGTGGACACTCAAGGTCCACTCTAACCTTAGAGTTTCAGCATCTACAAGATGACAGGACCCACATGTGAGGATATTTGAGAAGCAGTGCTCCATTTAGCTTATAATAAATTTAATGTGTTTATGCTTAATATTTTTGTACTTAACTCTTTTTTTCTTTTTGGTTTTTCGAGACAGGGTTTCTCTATGTAGCTTTGCACCTTTCCTGGAACTCGCTTTGTAGACCAGGCTGGACTCGAACTTACAGAGATCTGCCTGCCTCTGCCTCCCAAGCGCTGGGATTAAAGGTGTGTGTCACCACCGCCTGGCCTTTGTACTAAACTCTTAAACTGAGACTCAAAACTTGAATAACAGTCTAGAAGAGGAAAAGGTAAAATTCATAAGGTTCATCTTAAATTTTACTATAGAATTATCAACTAATTTAAGTTCTTCCACAGGAAAGAGCTCTGCACGGACACTTCAGTGATTCAGTCCTTGGGCACCATTTCTTAGTAAAATTTGTACTCTGTTTTAAGCGTAAGTAAAGCATCCCTTTGAGTTTCTTTACACTGCTTGCTGTGGACACTTGCTATAACATCCACTGTATACTTGATGTTTAATTCTTTTTTCATTCCCTTAGGGCATCAGCATCTTCCTCACTCAAATATTTCCTTAAAGTATATGTTGGTATTGTCTACTGATGCCTCCTTACTCCTGATCTATATGAATAAGTACCACACACACACACACTCACACACACACACACACACACACACACACACACACACACACACACACAGACAGAGACAGACAGACAGAGATACAGAGACAGAGAGACAGAGACGGAGACAGACAGACAGGCACAGAGAGACAGACAGACAGACACAGAAACAGAAAGAAAGACAGAGACAGGTTTATGGGGTCTGGAACATGTTCTTAGAGAGGTCAGAGTGTTAAAAGCTGAAATTTAGTTCTGCAGGCAGGGAGCATTTAACATGAGATCCTCATCTCCGAGGCAATGAATGGAGGAGACCTGAAGAGGTAACGCAAAGTGGCAGGCGCGGCCACACCCTAGACTGTCTCAGGTTCCTACAAGTATGCCTACCCTTCCTCTGGTTCAAGGGAAGAAAGCTGCGGAAAGTCACAAGTACCTAAGGCCACAGAGCAGGAACGTTTCCAGTTCCCGGGAGCACATGCCAACACAAGCTTTCCTATAAAGATGACTGTGTAGCAGAAGCTCAGGCTGGGCAAAGAGGACCCCACCCCCCCTTTACACTTTTGCCCATCCGTGGTGGCCCTCGTCATCATCGAGAGCACTGGGACCAGCTTTATCCTCGGCAGCCCTGGAGAAGCTTTGGGGGAGACGAGTGTATCCACAAGCGCGTGTGTGCGTGAGGAGGAGAGCAAAGAACGTGATTACTTCAGAATTTATTTAAGGGCCGGTGGAAACCACTGCAGCAGCTTCCAGGGGAAGCCCTTGTTCCAGAGGAAGAGGAGGTGGAGGCTGCCAAGGAGGAGGAGGGGAGGAGACACAGAAGGAGGAGTAGCAGCCGCTTGCATGAGGCAAGGATGCTATAGCATCCTCACCCGTTCTCAGCAGGTTGGTTCTGTCGGCCAACCCATGCAAGCAGAGGAGTTGCAGAGCGGTTGGGAGGGGGAAATTGGTGCCCTCTCAGGGGGTAGGGGTGAGGAGCAGTCCGGGGAGGGAGGAGGGAGGTGTGCGTGTGCGTGCGTGCGTGTGTGTGTGTGTGTGTGTGTGTGTGTGTGTGTGTGTGTGTGTCTGCTTCCCTTCCCAGGAAATAAACGTCTCTAAGTGAAAGGATACACCCTAGGACAGAAGTAGGCTGGGTGTCCAGAGAAGACCTGTCCTGCTTCTAGCATCCCTGGGGACTCACTTCCTTTTAACCATCAAACTCCCAGCAATTACCATAAACTCCACTGTGACTCCGGGTGGGTTATTGGGTGGAGAATTTCCCTTCCAGAGATGTACTTTCCCACACTTCACCCCGAAGTTCCCCTTTAGAAGGGACGCTTCTTCACCCGCTGGGTGGCCCGGGAGACCGCGGGGAGCAGTTGTGCTAGGTTAAGTTTCTGAAAGTCAGATCCAGTCCCGGATTACCAGCTCTCCGCCCCGGGGGCTCCGCTGCACGCTCCAGAGCTGCTGCTGCTGCTGCTGCTGCTGGGCGGCAAAGGGGCCGCGGCTGCTTTAAGAACCGCCTCCCCCTCTCTTCCCTTTGACAATGGTCTGAACCGAGCTCTGCTTCCCAAAGCAAAATTTGTAATATGCCATTTTTCCGATGGACCCTTCTCCTTTTGGCTGCTGACGGAGCCACGGGAAGATGCCGTGTGGCTGCCACGCTACGGAGCCGGGGCACGTTCCAGGAGAACGCTGGGGCTCGCGAGTGTCTAAGCAGCCTTTCTCCTCCCGTTGCTAGGGAAATGGTCCAGGACTGCTGGGTGTGAGCCTCACCTCTCCTCCAGCCGAGACTGCGGTTGTCAGTGATCCAGTGAAGAAACAGGACCTGAAATAAGAGACATTAGGTACAGAAACTGTATTCGAGTTGCATGGTTTCTTTTCCGCTTCATTTTTTTTTCTCCTTTTTTTTTTTTTGACCACCTCCCCAGCCCCACCCCGCCCCCAGGGAAGAGGAGATGCAAAGTCCTCCTGTGGGTTTCTGTTAGTTACCTTTGCTTTCCAAAGATGCTTTCCACCCATCTTCTCCATCCCCGATGTCTCTGCCTCCTGCCTAGCTGGCTCTCTCCTGGGGCAGATGAACAATTTTAGTGTGGAAATTATGAAGTCAACTTCTTTCGGGGTGGTGGGGGTGTGGCTGAACAGTAACTTGTCCAGCAGTGTGGGGTGAGCTCGCTGTTCGGCCATCTGAACAGGCACGAGGGTATAGAAAGTGGAAACGCTTCCATTAGAGGTGGTAGGAATATTTCCTGAGGACAGGGGATTTCAAAGAGTTAAAGAGGAGGAGGAATATTCGTGTAATGTAATCAGACAATGGCTAGGCTTTCTTTTACTGAATTACTCCTTGCGGGTTAACAGAGATGGAGCTGGGAGGGTTCTGAAGACTAAACCTTTGCCGAAGAAACTTATTACAGAGAATGACTGCTTCTTTGCCGGTGGTCGTGTATTAATTCTAGCCACACAATTAAATGAAGTTATTGACCTACAGAAATAAAAGTCTTTTGGAATATTCTTGTCTGAATACGTATAGCTCGTAAGAACATATAGTATTAAGGAACACACTAGATCTCAAAATCCTTGCTGAATGACTCCACTGGGCATTCAAAACTTTTATTTTGGAATCCGAGAGATTTAGAAGACAGTCAAGGTTATATGCTGACAGCATGGGAGTTGGTTTTCTTGGTATAAAATTATTCGGGCTAAATTTAAGCACTGAGATAATTAAACCAATCAGGGTTATTATTTTTTTTTCTCTCTTAAAAATAAAATTTGCATTGCCTGAAACTGGGTCCTGGAATCTTCAGTAGTTTAGTGATCAAGTCGTCTATATCTAGATGAAGCTAATAAAATTATATTTCACATTGACTTGAGGGAGGGATGATGAAAATACCTCAGCAAACTGTGTTTTGGCTTGTTTCTCAGTGATGGTGTAATGTTTGCATTTTTAGTTCCAAAAATGACTCTAAAAGCAAAATATAATATATCTGGGTGCAATATACAAAATACTGGATGACCATATCTTTCTGTATCGTGTTCCAGATATTCATCCTACAAAATATTCTTCATAGATTTTTAATTATTCTAGTTCACTCAAGCTGTGCAGCTGTGAATTTAGGAACTGTTACACTATGTTTTGAGGGACATGCAATTATTTTGCAGCTTATACCAGAATCTGAGGTCTAAGGTAATAATTAACCCAGCCACTAAAAGTAGCTTTGGTATTTGTAGAATTTTTCTTTTTAAATTTTGGAGGACTCTAGATTTGCTCATTTAGATTGATTTTAAAGAAAGTAGCATGCATCCATCTTATTGTCTAATTAATTTTGCATACTTGAAATTTCACGAATTGAATTTTGAGAGTTCAGAAGTATCTGCTAGAATTACAGCTACAGGCCTAGTAGCAGGTGTTTTAATGTACAATATAATTTCTGTAAGGATAAATGGTGACCAGTTTGTAATAGAGAACATGTTTGGGTTTTTTATAATAATCCTTTATATAATTCACTATGTGTCTGTCAGGATGCATAAATCGGGAATTTTTATAAACAATTTTTTGTGTTTATTTTATAAAGAAATTTTATACACTTTAAAAACTGATTATCATTCTTCCTTTGGGGAAGGGAACATGAAGTTTTGAAAGGCAAACCAACTTACTCCATTTCACATGCTTCAGGAGTGGGATGGAACTGAGTTGCTCCAAGTATAGAATGCATAGATTGTCTAAGCGTCTCATCATAGCATCTTTTGGCTGACCAAATCCATGACCACCTTTTCCACGGATCTGAAAATCTCAAGCTTGTGACTGTCCAATGTCTCTCGGTAATATTAAGAATTTGAACACATGTGTGAAATAGATGCTTGGAGTAATGAAGGAAGTTAAACTCTCCTTGGAATTTAAAGTTGTTAGTAATAGCTTTCCTCTGCTAAGGGTATGATTTAAAATGCAGATTGAAGAGCATTTAGATAACTATATTTCAAGGCACAATTTGTTCTGGTACTTTGCCTTAACCTTCAATGTCAAAAATAAACACATAGGCTCATGGTCATGCCTTTCAGGACATCGCAGTTGTTCCATGTGTGAATGTCATGCGTGGCATGTGAACTAATCCTTTTAAGTAAGCCAATGTGTTGAAAAGTTTTTGTTTTGTTTTCAATTAGTGTAAAAAGAATTTATAGCAGTTAAAGGGGGTTATTTTTCACCGTTGGGATAGTCCATGAATGAAAATCAGAATGGTAAAAGCATAAAGTATACATTAAATAGCAAATGATAGTAGTAATTGTGAAAGTCTGTGCAGGTGTACATGTAAAGACATTCTATAGATCTGCTCTGCAATGTACTTTAGGATAAATATGAAATAAATAAGTCAAGTTTCTGTCTTCAGATAGATCAGCATTTTGAGTGATGGGCATAGTTGCAAAGTATTTTGAATTATTTTAGAAATTCCCAATTTTTTCTTTGCTTTACCTAGAATACTTGTCATAAAATGAGTTACTTTCATTTTCTTAAAGTTTTGGTCAGTTTCCAATGGGTCATGACCAAATAGTTCACATATAATTAAGTTTTGCTCCTTAACAACCAAATTTACATGAAGAAACATATAAAAAGTAATTAAATATTGAACCGTTAAATCTTGACATTTTATTTCAAAATATCACCAGAAATAGTTTCCCTAAGGATATATATGTGGACAGAAAAAATGAATTGACCTTTCATTATAAAGTCATGAGAAAGCTTTGAGACACACAACCAAACTGGGCTTATCTCACATCAGGCTTTCTACAAAACCAGCCTTTCTAATATCTTCTGGCCCTCACACAACAACTGAAATTGAGATGAGTTAGACATTTAAACACACACACACACACACTCACACACACACACACACTCACACACACACATACACACACACACGCGCACACACACACTCACACACACACATACACACACATACACACACACGCACACGCACGCTTACACACATGAAAGAGACAGAGACAGAGAGAGATAGAGAGAAAGGGAGAAAGAGAGAGACAGACAAAGAGACACAGAGAAAGGGAGAGAGAGAAAGACAAAAAGAGAGAGAGACAGAAACAGAGAAAGAGACAGGCAGAGAAAGAGAGAGATAGAGACAGAGAGACAGAAAGAGAGAGAATGAAAAGGGAAATGAGACAGTTTCTGATTTTTAAAGATACCACATGTGACAGGCCAATGTTACATGTCAACATCTGTATTGTCTACTTTAAATCAAATTAATAAATAATTTCAAAAAGAATTCAGTCCAATCCTTCCGTGACTAAGAGTTTGTGATTAGCAGCTGAGTTATGAAGTGACTGAATGTGGTAATATAATTTACTGCAATCTGTTTTGTGGAATACTTGAAAGAGTGCTAGTTTGTAATTGTCTGGATGAAAACCAGACAATGCATCTAAGAGGAATGCTAAGTGTAATTAGCAGTATAATAATCAAGACAAATTCATGTATCTCAAATTAACTCCTAGAGTTTATGTCTAATTCAATCTGAATCATTTAGCACGTCTGTGCACAATTCTGAAAGGCAGAAGATGAAAATAAATAAATGAAAAAAAACACTTCAGAAGGATTAGTTGTTGTGAGGAAATCTGTTGAAGTAAGAAAATAACAGTATATTACCTAAAATAGCCAATTACTTGGGGTTTTCTGATTAAAACAGTGAATGTTAGGTCACTTATCTGACCATCATTCAAAAATTGTATAGTTTCTACTCATTGAAGCACAAAGTTGCATTGTCTGTTGACAAATAAGGTACAGCTATGTTCATGATAATACTTTTTTTTAGCTTGCAGAAGTAGAAAAGAATGGGATGAGTGGTTATTCAAATGATGTGTTTCTGTAAATCAAATCATGAGTGATAAATTATGCAAAAGAAAAGGGAAAACAAATGGAAACAGGTTAAGTACGGTACATGAGACATCTATCAATTGCCATGACAGGTGAACACATGTGGGTTGCAAACAGGAAAGAGATTGTACTTCACTAAGGTCCACACCCTCCTCTGGATTGGACTGGAGGCAGGAAGTTGGGAAAAGAGATTAATGACCTGTGAAGGCTTTAGTGAGATGGAAGCCGGGAGGGGGCGGGCATTATTGAAAATAATTTGTTTACTAAAAATTTCCCTTTCTTTTCTTTAAGCAATGATGTGTGAAGTGATGCCCACGATTAATGAGGACACCCCAATGAGCCAACGGGGGTCCCAAAGCAGTGGCTCCGACTCGGACTCCCATTTTGAGCAATTGATGGTCAACATGCTGGATGAAAGGGATCGTCTACTAGATACACTTCGAGAGACCCAAGAAAGCCTCTCACTTGCCCAGCAAAGACTCCAGGATGTCATCTATGACAGAGATTCCCTCCAGAGACAGCTGAATTCAGCCCTACCCCAGGTATGCTTCAGTAGCACAGGTTTTCCTGTTCAAAATGGAAAACAGAACAGGCTCTTAACAACATTTCCATCATGTTCACTTCTATAACTACTTTTATGCTGAATATATAATATGTGCTCTGGATTAAAATTAATAATAAATTACTAATGTATTTCAAAAGTTGCTTTACACAAAGTTAATAGCGTACTGGTGTGCACACGTTGCATGCACTCGTGTGTGTGTGTGTGTGTGTGTGTGTGTGTGTGTGTGTGTGTGTGTGTGTAGAATGAAAGAATTAGTGACTGAGCTTCTGTTCATTGAAAATTTCATTTCCATGTTTTGGTGGACATAGAAAAACATTTCTTTATCAGCCATAATGTAAGGATAATAGATAATCTTGTCCTTAAAAAGTTAACCTTTTAAACACAGTCATGACTTTGAATATATTTATTTTCAGTTTTCATCTGTGTGGTCTGTCTGTTTTGGAAATGGTAGAAGTCGGGGAATTCACTCTATAATACATTTAATTTGCCTGTTTTCAAAAATACCCAATATTTGATTAACTTAAAAAAATTCATACATTATCTTTTCTCAAAAGTACTCAGAGCATCTCAGTTCCTCCTCATGTTCCCATCCCACATCCCTTCCCTTCTACTGCCCACCCCCAGTTTACCCAGGAGATCTTAACTATTTTCCCTTCCTGGGGTGGTCCATGCCTGTCCTTCTTAGGGTCCTCCTTTTTACTTAGCTTCTCTGGGGTTGTAGATTGTAGCCTAATTATCCTTTGCTTTGTGTCCAATATCATGCAGGTGACAGTTATGTGGCTAGATTTGTTTGACGGAGCACCTGACAGTGGGACCAAGACTTATCCTGGGTGCATGAAATGGCTTTTCGGAACATTCCCTAGGGTGGGATACCTTGCTCAGCCTTGACACAGCAGGGAGGGACTTGATCCTGCCTCAACTTAGTATGCCAGACTTTGTTGATTCCCAAGGGAGGCTTTACCCTCTCTGAGGAGTGGATAGAGGGTGGGATGGGGATTGGTTGGGGGTGGGGGACGGGAGAAGGGGAGAGGAGAGGAACTGGGATTGATATGTAAAATGAAAAAAAAAAACTAAAAAAAGAAATGTCTCAAAGTAGTTTCTTCTTACTTTTAAAACATTTTGGAAATTGCCAACCTTGGTGTTTCACATCTGTAATCCCAGCACTTGAAGAGAGAGTATCAAGTGTTCAAGGCCAGCCTAGACTATGTCACAAAACTCTTTCAGAAATTAAAAAAGCATAAATAAATAAAAGAAGGAAATTAGCAAAAGTCAAACTGCAGACGGCTCTTTCAAACTAATGTTGTTAGTTATTTTTACATCCATTCCTGTTAATTTTTAATATTAATAGAAATTAAAAAATAGTGATTCCAAGTATATTTGTTTACAGAGTTAATGGTAAGGATCAGTAACCGATTGGGGAGTTTCGTGATCACACTGCTCTTTTGTAGGAAAAAAATGCACAGAATACAAATGACTTTTTGTTTGTTTGTTTTGTTTTTTTGAGACAGGGTTTCTCTGTGTAGCTCTGGTTGTCCTAGGACTCACTCTGTAGACCAGGCTGGCCTTGAACTCACAGAATCTGCCTGCCTTTGCTTCCCCAGTGCTGGGATTAAAGGCGTGTGCCACCACTGCTTGACTAACATTTTAAATAATTTTCCACAATAAATTAAAATTTTGTTTTAAATACTGTTTTTGTTTTTTATTAAAAAAATAGACTAGCAAATTTTGAAGTGATATCTTGTAACAAGTATCCTTCTACTATATAAAGTGAATAAAACTCTGAAGCCACCTATGTTATTAACCTTCTGCGTCACACTGAGGTAGTTATCACTCTCAGAATGGGTCTGATCACACTCTCTCTTACCCAATAGGTAATCGCCAACCCTTATAAATGATGCCTGTTCTAGACCTACACAAGTTCAGTCAGTTTGTAATGGGAAGAAGCTTTTAAGTGACTCTCACATGTTGAAAACGCCTGTTGATCTCAGCACCCAGAATATGTTGACAAATTCCCCAAAGCATCTATCCATGTTTCACCTGGAATGATTTATTTTGTTTAAAGAGATTTCAGTACTGACCATGTTCTTCACAAGGCGATTTCTCAAACTATCACTTTTCTCACTCTTGTAGAAGACGGCTTCAGTTGGTCACAAGTGTTTGTAAAGCAATGTCCTACAGTAAATCACACCCTCCCTACCTGTATCACACAAGGTGACTGTTTTGCTTTCCTGAGTCTCATTAAAGAGGGCCATTGTACTTTCTGTATATACAGGGAACAAGAGTGAAAAAGCGTTTCTAGCCATTCTAGATAACTAAATTATTGAGATTATAATGTCAAATAATTTATATTTTATTTTTATTATATTAATGTGTAACTTGTTATGACAACTCTTTTAGTCTAGTTGTACTTTTTTCTTTTTTATGTATATGAGTGTGCATATGCATGCATGTTCAAAAAAGCACGTGTGTGTGTGTGTGTGTGTGTGTGTGTGTGTGTGTGTGTGTGTGAAGCTGCAAGTATACAAGCCCAAGATGGTCTTTGGAAGCTTCACTCCTCTGCTTTCCATCTTATGTGTCGAGGTATATTCTCTCTCACTTGAACCTAGTGATAGCCTAGGTGGTTAGTCTGGCTTGCTGGCTAGTCGCAAGCAACCCTGTTCTTCCTTTCTAAACACTGGAGTTATAGACAGGATGCCATAGAGCATAAAACTCACATGTCCAGTTCACACACTCAACAAACGCCTCACTCCTAGGCTGATTGTCTTGTGCAGTTCAGAATTTTGTGCCTGTATAGAATACATATATTTAAGCACACAAATATATTTCAGAGGAGAATACTATAAATATTTCTACTTCATGGAAAAATTAAAGTCTATGGTCTCATCATTAAAAGATCTAGTTTTGCTATAGACTTTGAATAAAATACCAGTGTTCAGGATATATTTGTTAGGAATTGTAGGAAGGGATTGTGATTGTAAACTATTACATTGTTATAGCCATATTTTTATATTATTTAACATTTTAAAATTATCGATCCATATCTTACTACTATTCACACCAGAAGTCTACAGTCCTTAAACATAGTGATGGCACTCTTATTTTTCTAATATGAATATTTGATAGCCCAGCCTGTACTCTTAGGAGTGTATATTTCATGCAAGTAGTAGATTGCTGCTCTTTAATTGGTGTGTTTAAATTTTTGTGGATATTTGAAAGCAATGTATTGTTGGTGATATTCACATTTTACCCTGAAGTGCAGGGAGAAAGTGACTGCCATAAATACGAGGTTTGAGGCAGAAATAAAACATATAAAATGGAAAACTACTATAGTAACATAAAAATGAAATTATTTCAGCAAGCAGAATTGAAAGCAGACACATATTTTATGATGTAGGTATTCTAAATTGACTGTACAAGGCTTTGGGGCACTGTAGGAATTGGGGTTTAGCTTTAGTTACTCCATCTTCTTTTATCTCTCGGGGAGAAATGTAGCAATATTTCAACAATCTTAACCATGTAAATATCTGCCTTATAGTGTATTCCATTGCTCTGTGGAGTGTATCAGGGTTTAAAAAGAGCTGATAATGTCACATCATTCCACATTCCACTTTGATGTCTCCAGCTATACCTCCATGTACCTGCCTTTCTAATGTACAGATCCAATTTACTAGTCTATAGAAACTCCCACTAAAAACCTTCCACTCTCAATCGTCCTTTACCTCCTACTCCACTCAATTCTGCTCTAGTTTCTTACACAAAACCTAAGAATCCTTTTAGAGGATTATTGGTCCCTCATCTCTGATCTCCTTCATCGGGGAGCCATATTGCTTTTCCTCTTAAATAAGGCTCAGATCTCTCTTTTCTTTTCTGCACCTGGCCCCAAATTTCTCTGCCATGTCTCCTAAGATCTCCCATTTGATAAATGCTTCATATTGTATCCTCAAAAAAACCTGAACTACCTATATATCAGCAACAAACTTATCTTTCCAGTGCTTTTCTTTTATGCTATCTTAGTGTCACTATTGCTGTGATGAAACACCAGGACCAAAAGCAACATGTGTAGAAAAGGGTTTATTTCCTTCATAGCTCAGTGTAACAGTTCATCATCAAAAGCAGTGAAGTCTAAATATGACTTTGTCCCCTGCCTGAATCTGCTCTGAATTCTAAGTGCATTTCCTGTTTTACTATTTTGTCATTTTTTTTTCCGTATGGAAAATGAGTTACCTCTGTGTCCCCTACTTCCTAACCTAAGCTTCAAGACATCAGAAACACATCTTAATCTTCAACACCTCTCCAGACTACCCAAGAACTGATGTATTAGTTATCTATTTCCTAAATAGTTCTTGGTAACAAACACTACAATATTTCAGTAGAATTCAAAACTGTGGATTTGTGGAGTTTGGCTGATCTGGGCTTGGGTTGGCCACTCTTAAACGAGTTAACTCACGCTGCAAAAGTATTCCATTAGCTGTATACCACCTCTTTACAGACTGTTTCTAGTTGACTTTGATTGTGCATACCGGAGCAACTCATTTCTGTGCTTGTCAAATCCTAGGATAGGCTGGTGCCACAGGTTCTCCTGCTCATGGCTCAGGAGGAAGAACAGAGCAGAAAGCACCTTTTAAGATTCTGTTTTTATTTTTGTATTGCCCTTTAGTCAGGGCCAGAGACTTGGTGGAAAACAATAGCAAATGGCATGAACAAAGAAAGGGAGGGCTGAAACATTAGAGAACCAGCATAATTGGTCTACCCTAAGTGTAATCAAGCATCATCCAGGACATTGTCAAGCTAGGGAAAATCATTATGAAAATAATGTACTGGTATTTAAGGATTTGAAATAGAATTGTGAAGCTATCAAATTACAAAAGACAGTATAAATATGTGCACACCACAGAGAAAGAATGGTCATAACTAGTAGCTTGCTGAGAACAGCCAAGACTGTGGACTCTATCCAGAGGTTAGAGATTTGAATTAAAA